GTACTTTTACAAAAATTTTATATATATATATACGATTGTACAGCTTGATAATAAATTCGTTGAAAAGAGATCCCTTCGCTGAACTTCGTGTTTTAATTTTAATGTTTAACTGAGATATTATTGCCAATAGTCAATCATTTAACTTTTCATAAGGTGCTGTCCAGTTAAAGAAGAAACAAGTAAAACTCCATCGTTAGCCGATAAGAAACTGTGGGGGGATTTTTCTTATTCAAACAACTTAATAAGATGAATGAAATGATAACCTAGATAAAATTCACGTTTTGTATACCAGCTATTTTAAGATTTAACTAGTTATTTCTTAGGTCATATCTTTGGAAACTCTAGTAATCAGAATTTTTTATATTCTCATCCATCATATTTTCATAAGCAACGGGATTTAATAATAATAATAATAATAATAATAATAATAATAATAATACATGACAATTGAATTGCTAATTTTTAAATCGATGAAATATTATAAATAGGAAATATATACGTGAAGGATTAAAACAACAAATGATGGATAAGATTAAACGGAAAAAAGAAGAATGGTTAAATAAATCAGCAGGTAAACTGATTATCATTGAATGAATGCAATAATATATTTGTTAATCAAACAGAAGGTAAACAAATAGAAAATGATTGTCAAAAATACTTTCATAATAAAATGATAAGTGAACAACAGAAACGTGCCTTTCTACTCACATTCAGAGATATGAATAAAAAGGTAAGTCTGATTGATAAGTACTACAAGTATTGTTTTATTTTTTTCAAACTTCAACGTTAACGAAAATGTCAGCATTTTTAATTATATTTTTAGTTTTTCAGTAAAATATATAATATGGAAATAGGTTTATGAAATAGTACCAATGGTAGGATTAGAGTAAAACACTGATGTTCTACAGGGGTTTCAATTTGATATGAAACTTTTCCCATGGTCACTTCCACGGCCGTTTATAGGTTAAATTAGGGAACGTCTGTTGAAATAGGAGAGTACGTTACTCTTAATTCATTGCATTAGAAATAAACAGTCCGATTCCTAAAATTTGACACTTCGTAATACAATTATATATATATATATATATATATATATATATATATATATATATATATATATAACATAGAGACAAGCCCACACTCTCTAAATAGCAGCTTGTCGAACAAAAAATTCATTCATCTTACATTTAAAAATCAGTTCACTTAAAAAGGAAGCAGGGCTTCGAAACTAAAATTATCGACTTTGCAGCTTACTTCATATGGAATTAAATGTTTCTGTAAGAAGCACGTTCGTGAATAAAGACGATACATTGTAATGACTGTTTTCCCCTTCAGATTTCTAATTCTATCTATAAATTCGAAACTATCTTTTACACAGTGATCTACCTCTTTGTGTTGTGGTTCTAGAATTTCTACTACCCATTTTTAAGTCTTAGCATAACACGAACTTACCATTATCTTGGATCAGTAGTGGTAAGTCAGTTTTATATACGTTAGGAATACTCGATAGCTGGTGAGTAATAGACTCAATAAGCCTGAGTCCAAGAAAGTGAACATGTTTGTTCCAAGCTATTTAAGGCGCCAGTTGTTACTTAGTATTTTCCGTTATGTTGTTTTTCGGTCATTTATGAATTTTGGGATAGTCTCTGAGTAATATATCCAACTATTCGATATAAACTAATCCTGACCTCCTTTTAACACTTGAAGCTAACACAAAATTAGGACCAATGGAATTAATTCTTTTGGATGTACAATCAGGTAAATAAATCATCATATTCCTGAAGATTAATTCTCTTGGTTTATTACTGAATAAATAAAAACAATAAGCACTGTTATGGAATTTAGTCTACCGTTAGTCAACAAAGCCATATAAATTTATATCCCAAAACTATCTGTTCCTTCGAAATTCTCATATCCACGTAGAATTCCTCTTTTTTCATACAATAAAAGCCATGTGCATATACAGCGACAAACCTGATTACTGTGTACATAAAAAGTTTATTTCGACTAACAATTAACCCGGGTCACTAACTTTGTCATTTTCACGTTTCGATACAAGATTTACTTATTGTTCCGTTCCTACGTAGTCAGTCTTGATTATCTGACTAAACAATTTTTTACCTCCCGTCTTATTAATTACATACTAGTACTTTTATATATAACATTAAGTACTTAAATATACGCGTTCAATTCCAAACTTAATTTTTACGAAACTATTTGTGGTAATTTCATTTCGCATCAATTGAGTTAATACGCGATTATTTTTTCTTTAGAAAATATTGGGATATTATCAAATTGATCTATTATCACTCATTTTGTATTGATTTTATTCTTACTCGTAAAATATACATATTAATGTAGAGCGGAGTCAAGGAACTAATTAAGAAACATTTGTCTGTTCAACTTATTATTTAATGTATTAATGGGAATATATACATATACACGAGTACAAGGGGTTTATAGAGATTGTTAAATATTGTTGAGATCAAGAGCGGACCTAAGTTAGACAACCTATACTGATAACTATCATACCCTGACTAGCGGTTAATTTAGAGTGGAGATTCCAGGATTTTACGAAGCCATGACCAGCGGTGTTCAATCGTGCAGTGTGAGACAACTATCCACCGAAAACAACAGGAGTAGATTGTGCAGTATCGCTAATTAAGTAGAGTTAGACATGTACACCACCAAGTGTTGGCTTAGTAGACTAAAGGTTAGGTTCTTATCACGACATCTGAAGGTTCTGGATTCAATCTCCAGTGATATGAACGCCTAATGCTGTGAAGCCGTACACTGGGACGAAATACATGCTCATAAATACAGAGGGTAAAACTATTACCAGCTTCGTCTGAATACAAAGGATATGGTTGCAGGTTCGAATACTAAGAGATTTTGTTATGTGCATAAAGCGTGGTTGGAATCAGGAAGAAAAATAAATCACAAAACTGACTAGAAAAGTTCAACTGCTTTCAACTCGTGTTCACGATCTACCGAATGTGACAAAAACTGACGTAAGTTCTGACCTACTTTGTGTTGTGAAGCTTTCGTTCATTTTGTCGTTTAGACTTGATTACTTGTATCACTTATGCTAACACTGTTATTTATATAAATATATATGTAACTCAAAACAATATTATTTGCTGATATATCTTAATAAAACTTGCACATTACGAGTATATCTTTTTAAAACATAACCCCACATATTCGCTTTCTCTAATTTTCCCCTTTCTTATCTTGTTCCTGCTAACACTATTATTTTATTTTCAATAGATTATGGAAGAGAATGAAAGAATTAGAAAACTTGAAAGAAGAAATGAAATTGAAGAAGACAGAGAGCAACTAAAATTCAATCCTATTAACTGGAGGCAAACATTAAAATAAACTGTAATATCTTACCCATATTTACCTACATATTTATTTAAAAATTTCTATTATTAAAGTTAGAATTCTTCATATAAACGAAAATGCGAATTTACGAAAAAGTATAACAAAAAAGTACATACATGTATAGTTATGAAAAGAAAGAATTCGGTCTATTGCTAAGCACGATATTTTGAGATTTAACAGTACAAAATGTATAGTACGACAAAATTTCACATTAATGTCATGAAATCTTAACCAAATGTAATCAAGCTTGATAATAAAATCAATGAAATAAACCTTTTTGTGGTTGTGAACCATTGTAATTAGAAACTATATGTAGATGAATCACAGAATTCAAATGTGTACGATTGGTGATCTTCGAAAGCTAAACGTGATAATTAGATAAAATTGTCTTTAAGAACACAATTGAACATGATTCAGGTTCAAAAATATTAAGCACTCCAGTGATATAAAAACAAACTACTTTTTAATTCACTTTGTATTGTTTTACTTGAATCTTCCGATTGATGTTAAGGATTGAAATTGATCAGTCTCTTAATGGCATATGTGCATACTGTGTGTATTGCCTTAATTTACAAGCATTATAAGTAAAGATGGGTAGTGGTTAGCAGTGGTTTTTAGTTAGTATTTCAAATATAATACGTGATGCTGAGAAATGAACTAAAATAAATACAATAAGCGTTATACGGAAATGAAATGAGAGTCTAACATTCCAATGATGCGTTATGACAGAAAACGGATTATCCTTAACTTCGTAATTATGTTGTGTGAATGTGAAGGATTATTGTATGATAATTAACTGTATCAGCGAATGGTAACTTGACAGTTAGAGTACTCAATTATCAATATTTGAATACCTTCCCACCTAATTTGACTTAAGTAACCAAGCATTATCAGTAGCATTCATCCAACTTATCTGGCTCAGAACCAAGTACATGACTGCTTACAAAGAAGCATCAATTTCTGGATAAAAATAGCATGTTTTTATATCACTGAATTACAATACTTATTGAAATCAACACAAGAACGTATTTGGTATTTTCCAGACAAAGAGGTTCTCAATATACATTAATCCGCATTAAAATTCAAGTAATGATATACATTATGAATGCCATTTCATTCTAAAACATTAGGAATGATGCATAATAATAATTCATACCAAAGAAAACAGGATTCACTAAAATCAGATATCCACGCCTGACTGTTAGACAATGAACCGGAGAAATAATCAGGATTTTGAAATAAGAGGCAAGTTTCATCAAAGGAATATAGTTCAAATCTCTAACATATGACCAATCGTGGAAATGTATTTTTCTAGTGCTCGAAGGAACATTTTTTTATTTCAAAAAAGAAACTTAGTTCACTACTCAAAGCGTTTTATGAATGTAACGATTATCAAAGACCATAAATTGTAACCTCCTCACCATGCTTTCTAGTGATTATCTTTGATGTAACAATGTCGAATTATCTGCGTCGGGGATAGTCATTTTTGCTGAGCTTTGTTAAAAAGTGTTTCTTAGAGTAGTATGAATCTTCATGGTGTTATCTAAAGGTGATACGGTAATTAAAATAAGAACCGAATGAGTCAACACCCTAAAAATATCAGAACAAACAGTCGAAACAAATAATTTAATAATCTATAGAATAAATAAAAAATAGTTGAGTGAAACAATAAGTATCTAGAATATTCACTTATAAAATTAACATATTGACAGAGATGTGAAAAATCACCTTTTGGTTATCTTCGAAAGTAAATAAGTTTTATAAAAAAATTATTAGACGCTAAGATATTAAATACTAAAGTTAGAACAGAATTATGTAATGTATATGATAATATTTTACAATTCAATGAACATGTGAAATCAAATGCAAATAAGTAACGTAAACAAACGAACAAGGGATATTTAAATACATAAATACATATATACTTATACATTTATACACACTCGGGATATTATTGCTGTTTAGTGACAAATCTATTAGTCACCATAATTCAGCACCAGTAGACCAATCTATATCATCATCCTCATCATCTATTCCATGACTATAATTAGGTAAATATGAATTATACATGTTATTTTCATCAATATTTTGTTCGTTTTCCTCTTCTCCTTCTGCTTCATTGTCGTTCTCCTCTTCAACGTCAAGCTTATTGTTGTTAGCATCCGAACCTTGATTTTTTACTGCACTTTTATCATTATCGTTAATATTGGATAAAGTTTTTAGATTCGTAGAAGATGCAAGCGACTTGTGTTTACTGTTATCTCGAATATGTTTAGGTGATTTGAATAAATCTTTAGAATTATCATTATCACATAAGGTGGATGCAAGTAATGGACCAGGTCTTGGTTCAGTGGCATTGTCAACATCAGTCGCCGATACAGTTTTACAGCTATTATTGATCAAATCAACTGATGGACAGGTTGTTGAAAGGCCAACAACTGCTTCAAGTGCTTCGTAATTAATTTTACGAGATATAGGTTTTGAATCTTCTGTTCTGGGAAAGACATTACGATTTATTTTTGTTGATGTATAATTATTACGATTGACAGTCTTACGCTGTATGAAACATACAATAAACAAGATATTAAGTAGCATTCGGCAATCAAAAGTAAAATACAATTAAAACAAAAATTATTCATTTTAACGTTAAATAAGTGAAACGCCTGAACAGTGAGAAATTAAAAATTCAAATGACAGTTAATAAGTCATTACTGTTTGGAAATAAAGAAAAAAGGGTAAATGACAATAAAGGAATTTAATCAATCTAATATATAACTGCTTTCCAATTAAAGCCCAGATGGGATAAGAATGTAGACGAAACTAAAAGCATTCTACACAATTCATATAATGTAGTATATCAAAACATGAACGGCATGTATTCTTTGTTTTCTTTTCAGAATTTAATTTATATTATCTATCATTTTTGATATTTATCACATAAAATTGAAAACTCTTTCATGGCGCAAATGTCTAATTAATTTAAATCAAAACATCAACTATGAAACGCTCAGTTGACAAGTCAAAAAGTAAAGAAATCAAGAGGAATAAACATATCGAAGATATTAGTGCATAATAGCATAATGCGATACAATATTTCACTCATATGCCAGAATACATTGTATGAGCCACACTCTAAGTGCGAGGGCTAGTGATATTACCTGACTGCTTAAACAGAAGTACGTAGGACAGAATTCGAATTTAAGCTTAGTCTCTGAAAGTCAAACGTTTTAACCATTATCAAGAAACTAGTAGCCATGGATTAGTGGTTACAGAACTGCACTTTGAACCAATACATAACATATTGGAAGACTATTCAATCAAATTTGATTAAGGCAACCAGGTAATATCACAAGCCCACAAGCAAAAAGTGTGTATTTAGTTAATAAACCAAAACATTACTACAAGTACTCTATACATACAAAAGTCTTTGTAGATCGAATATATTCATATGTGTATGTATGTGCGTATGCAGCGAAAAACAATTCATAAGGATGTTCAAAGGTATAAGCAATAAATAACATGAAAACAAATAAACAAACCTTTTTAGAACCACCTTTAGTATCTTCGTGTTGTTCTTGTTGTTGTTTTTGTAATTTAGCTAATTTTCGTTCTAAATATTTTATAAAAAGACAAATTGAAGATAAGAGGGGTTTTACAAAGAGATTAACTAATACACAATATTACATCAAACTGTAACCGTAATTCTTACTACATCTAGACTAAATATAATGAATCACTACAGCAGTGTACAACTCAAAGAAATTAAATATGAAATAATCTTGTATTAAACCGTATTAGTAAAACCAAAGTTGTCAGGTTGTTTTTCAGAGGATTACAGGTGAAACACACTGTTACTATCGATTTGAAATGTGTTTTTTTCAGTATGCAGGATGTTGATTCACTTAACAGTAATGTTAACAATAATTATCATCCCTAATAAGTGTAACAATTAAAATACTATAAATAAAATCTTCGATGAAGTTACATATCACATTTACATTGAAATGAAATGGCTAACTTGTATAGCTGAATAAGAAAACACAATTCAATACCCAAATACAAGTGTGTACTAGAATTTACGTTTTAGTTACCTAGTGATCGATAAAGGAACAACCCAGTCTCCTACATTGAAATGATAGAAAAAGTAAATCAGATCTAGATGAAGTGATGAATGAGAGGCAGTCGCTTAAATTACTCCATAATTTTTTCTAATTCATGAATTATATCCTAATTTCTATATTTTCAGTTGCTTTTATACCTGTAAAATGTCAAGTTATGCTATGAATAAAGACAATATTCAATGTTGTGCATGAATACATTATGTCCCTTATTTAGTTAGCAAGATGACTAATAATCTTTACTTTGGAAGTTGTATTAATTCTTAAGTAAGAAAAAAATATATACGTACTTCTTGACAGTTCCAGATGCTCTGCATTTGCTTTGAACCAAATAGCTGCTTTCAACATTATTTCTCTAGGTTGAAGTAAGTACTCCTAAAATAAAATAATATGATACGATAACCAAGAATAAAACCTAACAATCAGGTCTTGATTGATTGAAGAGTGAGTGATCTACAACGTAATTCGCTCCAATTTCTTATGATATTTTTTGTGTCAATATTTTGTACATAAACAAGTCAATTTATTACATAAAAATTAACTTTCTACCTAATAGCCTTGAGTTTGGTTCCAAATTATTTGGGAGCATAGGTTGGTAATTTGTTTACGTGAGTAGTTATTAATCAGCCACGTCGTGTCAAGAGAAAATTAGTTTATCAACTCGTAAAATTCTACTTCATAAGAAAACAAACTAAGAGTAACTTTATTCGTAAATTACTATTATAAATATATAGTAACAATTCATATACGATACTCTCCAGTACATTAAAAGAAGTCACAGTCAACACAGAGATCTTGCACAAATGTGGATTAGTGCAAGTTGCTATAGCCTACCGGACCAACGAGATGAAGTTAACACGATGAATAGTAAGAGTTGAAACAATGAAGTAACAATGATAATAATAATATGAGTTAAAAAGAAATGAAAAGGTATGAATAATAGCTAGATTGTACATATTATTCCAATACAGTGAATGATTACATGTCTTTGTACTGAGTTTTTAGCTACATTACTCTTAGTGAAAGAGTTAGTGATAATATCCAGTTGACCAAACTGGAGTGGGTTACAGAGAGAATAAAACATGTAACCCAATAATTAAAATGTTGTACGACATAGCTTGTTACCATATAGTAATTATTAATGCTCATCAAACAACACTTCAATCAACTACACAAAATGTTATCAATGTGATATTTCTTTTCACAAATAAAATCTTTAAATGATATACATCATCTTTATTTTAAGTGACCTATTAGAAAATCAAAATATATTGGATTTATAATAAACAATATCTTGGCAATTCCTATCCACGGTATACCCACGTCAAGAAGAAAAAACCCAAGAAATATAGTACGGAGTAAGTAAGAGAAACGAAAACAGAAATAACCAATATGAAACGAATACAATGGATAGTTAATGTTCAAGTAAACGGTATAATATTTGAAAAGTATATGTGTGTTTATTCTTAGAGAATTATCAATTATTAGAATACTCTTTCATACGTCTACACTTTTTTGGTAGATATACGCGGAGAATATCAATTTTTATAACGTTATTGTGGCAAATATACAATCATAGGAAGAAAGAAAAGTGACTTTTAATCAAAATGTACAAAAATAACACGTTCCCTTAACATTTGAAAGAGATTTTTTATCGCTTCACAGACTGACAGTGTTCTAATGTCAAATCCATGAATTTTCAAGAGATTACAATTCTAAAATGACGTAGAATATTAAGAAATACACTATAGAAATATTCATTGATTACTTTTCCAACTTGTGACTAAAATTGATTTCCAGATAAAAAGTTAGAAAACCATAGATAATAGAAAACATTTTTTGTTCAATTTTTAAAAAAAAATAATGATAATACTCACTCGATCTAATTCTTCATCATCAATATCTTCAGTATACAAAGTATCATCATCTTCGACTAGAAATACACAACAACACGATGATATCAATGAAAAGACTACTAATAATTATTTTGAATTGTAATAAACCGAAACAATATTGTCATAATTAGTTACTATGTTGTTGCAGTTCTTTAAAGTGCTATAATAGTATGAGGTATATTAATTAGCAGTAACATAATGATCCAAGTTAGATTGTAATCTAAAAGGTCATAGTTATTTTACAATTTTATCAACTGTCCCCCACCTCCTTCAAAACAAAATTTAATTAATAAATATCAATAAACGAATAGCTAGTTAGTATGTTAGCCCATATCGACGTTTAGGATATAAATGTGTGACAATTCGGTCACTCAGTAACTTCTTATTTTACAGTTTTTTTCTTGTAAGGAGAAAATTTAAGATCTTTTATTTACAATATCCGAAAACTGATGCACATAGAACAGATAGGAAGAAATCGGGAACAGTAAGTATGCTTTTTATTGAACACACACATATATGTACAGTCAAGATCAAAGTATGGTAATGATGATCTTCACCTTTTCAACTAAAACAACTTTATGATATCAGCATCTAACACAGTTAACATCTTATAAAATGTTTGAGACAAACGTGAATTTCTACTGTCATTTAAACAATCTTTAGAATACTCTTTCACAACAGAAACACCGACACTAGTAAGGGGTTAGACTGTATTGTTAGAAGAGGATCTCAATCAGTCAAATGAGATGTAGAACATGGAACACGTGTACATTGGGTCGGATTGCCATACTTCATTACCGCAGAACGATTAGATTACCAGAGCAGATCTCAGAGTAGTAAAGGTATAATCAGTATTAGTGATAAGAGAAAAGATTAAGTATCTAAGACAACTAGAGAAGGAAATATAAATTAGTGAAGTACTAAAAAACTTGTGAGGAATTTACAAACTTAGAATCTAAAGAAAAGCAATAAATGAATGTACCTGCACCGGTGTGAACGATTCTGAACCATGTCATTCAAAGTTCCTAACCATCTGTTACTATAATTACGAGGATCAGAATCAGGTAATCTGCACCTACCCACATGACTCCGTCTAATAGTCAGTGCCTTCATGGACTGACGTAAGTCTTGGATTTGGTCGACCCTAACCTTCTTCCATCCAGCTTCTATATTAATCATCATCGCGTGTCGATGTAGTCAGTGGGTGGGCATATGTAACACATATTAGAAAAGTATCTGACAAGTAAGAAAATACGATCGAGTAGTTATTGGAAATACACAGGCTGAGAGGCTGAGAAACGAGGGAGTGTTAGCGAAACACAAGTTATTTGCATGCACTTAAACCTTTTAGTATATTCAATTCACATTATATTCCCACCTGACCAATTTCATCTATTAAAACCAATCAAATTACTTTTTCTAAATTATGGTATGATATAAAATGAACACTAACCATTTTAAAAAAATTTATCAAATGTAATAATAAAAAAAATGATAAAATGACCTACATACCTTTATTTTCTTTCTTTGTAGTAATAGTTGCTGATGAAATGAAAACCGGCAGTTTCAAGCACGTTGTATCTGTTAACAAGCAAAAAGAAAGATGCTATGGAGGAGGTTTTCTATTATTTGATTAGACAAAACTTTGGCTGTTAAAAGCGATGAATAGAATGTTAATCGATAGGTGATAGCAATGATATGTGACCGAATGATAACTACGCACGAGGCCGAATAATTAGCTCAGGCTCCCGAATGATTGGAAATCGAAGACAAGACCACTAGCCAGATCAATGGTTTGTCATGTAATAAAATAACATGCTTATATATAGAATATAAGCACAAAATAAACGTGACACAATGCCACAAACAATTGTAGGAAATTAGTTTGTAGGTCATTCCTTCTCCGATCAATTAAGACCCAACCGTCAGGCTTAATCATCGGACATCGTATCAAAGATTTGTTATGGATCTCATAAACACTGTAACTCAACAGTAAATAACTTATTGAAAAATGATTAAAAAGGTAGTAATATATATATATATATATATATATATATATATATATATATATTACTACAATCATTGACCACTTCTACATCCGATTCTGAAACGAATACTGTGTTTAGCGAAAATTTACTGATGTGAATATTTTGGATTAAAATAATAGATGTACAAAAACATGAGAAAAAAATGTGAAACATTTGCTGAATATAAAGTTAGTAGTAAGCAAAGTGTATTTTATTTAGTTAAGCGATTGGCATAACTAAGTGTAAATCCATGAAACTAGGCTTTGACCCACATCATATGTACGAGGGCTAGTGATACTACTTGGTTGCCTAAACCTAATTAGTTGACGCGCGACTCGAACCTGGGACCTAGTGGTTAGTAGTTGAACCTCATAAACACTGAGCCGCGCCCCACTAAAACTATGTCTTGTCAGCCAGTGGATTTATAGAGACAGTTAGTCATAAACAATATGGGAGCCAGCATTAATCCATCCGGTATAATTCTCTACTGAATAAAGTCATTAATAATAATAATAATAATAATAATAATAATAATAATAATAATAATAGAAAAGTGAGAGGAAATTGAATAGGATGATAAACTGTGGAGTTGAAATAATAATATCAGTGACATTGGAAAGCTAAATATATATGAGATTTATGTTAAAATGAATAAATACAGTGAAAGAAAACTATGGAATGACATTCAGACTAAATGAATGAGTATATATGCATCGATATCCAGTATTATAATTTAAGATCTCCAACCAAAAAGGTTACGATTATATCCCATACCATAAACAGAAAATCTTCATCTCTAGACAGGTTCTAATTCGTAGTTTCATTAACTCATAACATTTCTTTGTCCGCCACCCCATTCCTATTCTAAATCTACTTCGGAGTCGAGATAGGCTGTGACTAAACAAGCATAAAACGTATCTCAATAATTTCGCCTGATGAATTTCCACGGGTTAAATAATCCAATTATCAATGCTAATTACCCTACGTTTTAAATAAACAGTAGTCAATAGGTATTTCCATTACTACTCACATCAGCCTACAGTCATTAAGCTCAAAACTATATCAAACTTAAACAGTAAAAATAGAACTTACCTTTGGATTTTGTCTCAGTGATACTTGTTTCTTCAATGTCAGGTGGTTTAGAATCGGCATTTTGTACTATTTGTTTTTGCTCATTACTTACAGAAGCCAAATTTCTATGCTCTTCAGCTTCGGCTAAAAGTTGACACATTTTAGTACCAGAATGTTGAGTTAAAATATGTAAATCTTCAACACAACTATCTAATAATTCTGGTTCGATTAAACCATCTAAAACATCACGTAATATTCCACGAACTTGACCAGTTTTAGATTGATTCAAAACATTATCAACTGTAATAGGTGTTGTTGTTGTACTAGTAGTAACTGTATTGCCACAATCAACACTATTATTAGGTAACTTTTGTAAGTCATTTAGAAGTTCAAATGTTTTGAGTGAATCTGTCTCAGCTAGTAAATGGTGTACACCCTTGGAACAACCAACATCTGAATATTAGTGGAAATTAAAAAAAATAGGATTAGGATTCTTTTTTGAAAAAAAATATATAAGTATATATTACCTAGCAAAACTACTAGCCAACAACGTCATATTAAGATATGTATCATGATTATATCGACACGTAAACAAACAGTGGTGATATCAGAAAAAAGCATATAAAACGAAGAAGTGTAAAACGGTACAATTAATGCAAAATATAAAACATACAACGTTTTATTTGAAAATTTTAAAAAATATTTTCACTTATAAAACATCTGGATAAAAGTAAAGGACTCTAAAGTAACAACATTTACAATCCTATAATAAGTAACAAGATACTTACAGGAAAAAACAAGTACTATTAAATGACAGGTACCTAAAGAAAAAGATGCATTTTATTTCAAAGTAATTAAATCTAAAGTAGCTATCCTTTTGATGTGTACAGATCACAAACTCCAATACTTAATATCACCCTTAGATTACAAGATAATTAGTAAAATGCTATCGAAATAGAGGAAAATTAGCAACTAAGTACATAGATTAACTGCTTTACAGCTATAAATACTAAAAAGGCTAGACAAAAGGAACTAGATAAGGTTATTTGAGAATAACGCCTAACGGTTTGAAATACAGTAAGTTGATATGACGAACTATGGAATCTAATGCATTTACAACATCTGTTCACATAACACATGAAGCATGAAACATTATATGATAAATTTGATAAGTGAATATATCGAAAGTAACTAAGGACACTTTTAAATTATGAAGACTATTGGAAAGTTGCATTATGAAAAATTCAGACAAAATGAAAATGTGTTAGCTTCCCCATTTACCAAAATACGAAACTTTATTAGGTAATTTACAAAGATAACAGTTTTATGGGTTGCGAAACAATAATTGGTCAGCACTGGGTATCTCAATCACCGCTTCAAATTTCATACTGGACTCTATTAACTGATTTTCGACTGCTGTTCCACTACGAAAACATGAACTTTTAATTATATCTAATACAATTTGAGTCCTCGCATCATGATGGTATTTGAGTAATGTGTGGTTAGTGGATTGTTTCAGTTATAACATAACGATGATTAAATACCTTAAAATTCTCTAGTACACCCAGTGGTGGCGAAACCCAATTCTCATTCTCAAACGCACTCACGAAGTCACTTCGCATAGTAAGACAATATCATCCGCATACTCAAGATCGAGAAGTCTTTCTCCAGGTAACAGATCCACACCACCATTACTTACATCCGTCAGAGCTGTTTCCAGAATGTCATCGATGGCAAAGTTGAAGAGGAATGGTAAGATTGGGCAACCCTGTCTAACCCCATTGCTTGAATGGAATAATGGAGAAAAGTGGTTGTATGCCCTCACTCTAACTGAGGTGTTTGTATATACGGCTTTTAGGATGTTAATAAACTTCTCAGACACACCCTTCTTCAATAGACAATCCCAGAGAACAGTTCTGTCCAACGAATCGAAGGGAGCCCTGATATCAAGAAACACTACGATTGTTGGCCTTTGATAAGTATGGCGGTGTTCTAACACTTGGCGGAGGGTGAAGATATGACCAATACATCCTCGACCAGAACGAAACCCAGCCTGCTCCTCGCGAGTCAATCTTTCTCGGTTATTGAACAACCTACGAAGTATGACGGAAGCCAATAGCTTGGACGCAATCGGAAGTAGACTTATCCTCCGATAGTTGTTACAGGAATGACGTGAACCCTTTTTAAAGATAGGGACAACTATCGACTCATTCCATGACGTTGGTACACTCTCTAGTTCCCAGATCTTTGTAAACAACGTCGTCAGTCCCTTAGTCAAAAAGTCACCACCATCTTTAAAAAGAGCCGGAGGTAAGTCGTCTGGGTCCGGTGATTTGTAACGTTTCAAGAGTTGGAGTTCCTTGCGGACTTCCGCCTCATTTGGTGGATCAGTCGTCACCGGCCATGGAGGGCAGGACAGTCTGACCGATGTTGCCGGAGCAGCAGGCCAGTTGAACTGCCCTTCAAAGAATTTTGCCCATCGTCCAAGACGTCGATGGATGTTAGTGATTGGCGTTCCGTCATCCTCGCAGATTGTTTCGCTCACATCAGACTTCTTGCTGCCAGTGGCTCGGATGAGTTGGAAGAGCTTCCGGTAATTACCAGATGCAGCTGCTGCTTCCAACTCACTGGCACGCTCTGACCACCAGGCTTTTCGGTCCTTACTCAAGCTTTGCCCGATTTCATTACGTAACATCCTTCGTCTGTGGTCAAACTCACGGTCACCCGGAGTAGACCGACGGGCTTCAATCAGTTGTAAGGAACCAGAGGAAACCCAGTGCTTGTAAGCGGGACGTTTCGCGAACCCACAACAGACTGTACCCGCCATTTTCATGGCGTCATGCAATTGCAACCAACTTGCTGACATCAATCCTTTGATGGCGGTCACTTCTTTGGCCACTGAAAAGTAAGGTAAGATTGGAGCAGACCAGGGCATGATCAGATTCCAGATAGGTTCTTCAAAAGGAGCGGCAGTCTAGTACACAACCACGCCAGCGGTAGCTGATCGCGATGTGATCAATCTGAGTACAGGCTTGAGATGCAGAAGGAGGACGCCAGGTGGCACATCGGCGGTGACTGTGCCGAAACAGGTTGTGGTCTGTGCATAGTTGCAGTAGACGTTCCCCATTATCTGTCCTGCGACCAACAAGTCCCCATCGGCCACCTAAACGACTCTCTTATGTGCCTAGACGCCCAACCTGAGCATTCAAGTCTCCGGCTAGTACTACAATATCTGTCGAACGCACTTTTTGGAGAAGAACAGTTAGCTGGTGGTAGAATTCATCCTTTATTGCATCCGGGCTGCAATCTGTCGGGGCATAGGCGATGACGAAAAGACATCGTTTCTCACGCCGATGGCGTACGAACCTAAAGTTAGCCACCGGTTACCAATGGACTGCATCTCCTGACGTTGCTCCACTTCCTTGTGGATCAGACCTTCAGGTGGAAGGCTTCAGGTGTGGCCCTCGAAGAAAACCACCCGCCTCGGTCTGGGAACCCGGGCAGTATCACAGCCCTCACGCAAATCAAGTGAATTGTGTGGCGCACATGTATTCGGTGCCACTTTGTACCAATATTTATGTGTTCAAATAAGTAAATAAATAAATAACTCTAAAGAAGCCCCTACAAGTTGCCTTTACGTGACATTGGTATCTCGTTAAAAATGACAAAGTGGAAGTGAACGTATAGTACTTAAACAAGAATGGTCAGAAGACAGTCCATCTGCAAGAGTTAGTAAGCATTAAATAAAATCCCGTAGTGCATGTTAACTCTAGAAACGTTAAATGATTACGTGACATTAGATATAGTCACGACGCTATTCTGAGCATAAAATATCGAATGTAAAAATATTAGGTTTCAGCAGTCCAAACTTTTGAAACGATCTGTCACTGCTTAGAACACTTTCAACCCTGTGTTCAATCTTCAATATCTCCGAGATACCGTTAAAACACGATCTAAGTCGCTCTGAGATCAAACAATATGTGTTTGATCACAAAAGAGATATTTCCATCTTCAAACACGGGAATCGATGAATTAGACAATATTTAACCATATTATCCGAGCAGTTTAATACTATTTACTACTTGTTGACGCTGCATAAAAATATGGAAATACAGTCATTTTATGATACGGAGTTAGTTAGTATATCACAAGTACATTGATGAAGATTTAAAGATAACGAAACTTATAGGTCCGGGATGTTACCACAGTGAGATCATAAAGGAAGCCATAAGCAAACAAGTTACGGTTTTCCTTTGTATTCTAAATAAAAAATCTCTAAACTGGAAGAAATCTAAGTTTGTTGAATTCTCTTATTTTTTATTTCATTAAATGCTTTTCTTTAATAATAAGAATATTTTATCTTGTAAAGCCCATACACTGGCATCTTTTTGTACCTAGGATTTTTTGTTAGAAATAAAGTAATGGTTAATTAACTATTTGCTTTCAGGTTAACTTACCTATTTTGGACAGTTGTGTAGAGATAGTACGTGCAGTATACTTTCCAGCCAGTTTTTGTAATTCACTATCTATACGACGTTCTAATTCTGATATTTCCATAGTAATACGAGCCATCGTTCCCTCGGACATACTCTAAGTATTTGAAAAAACCAGTTAACAGATTTGATTTTATATATATATATATATATATATATATATATATATATATATATATATATATATATTAATGCGTTCTCTGTTTGGTATCTAAAAGGTTTTATCCATTCTCAGATAATGGAAACTATATCAAACCGAATAGTGTTAACAACCACACACGACTCCATCCCAATTTATAAGTAAAACGTGGGATATTTAGAAGTTATATTACATATGTATTTATTACGCACGGAACAACTAGCTCTTAGAGTTGAGAAGCTAAGATAAATGAATGCTCAATGCTTATTAACTGCTGAGGGATATAGTGAATTTGTGTAGGCATTCAAATAAATAATTGCGAAGGCTACGGGATCAAATTAAGGTATCCAACTCAGTGGAGCGGAATCCAAGTTTCCGAAATTAGTTTAAAAATTCCAAAAATAGAGACAGTTTTTTTCTTAATGGATTATAGTCAACTTTCCACGAAATAAAACATTTACATCGAGCTTATTCTTCTATTCAATTGGTGACTTAGTGATCAAGGCACTCAAATTTCAACCGATAAGTTACAAGCTCAAGCATCCTCAAGCATTTAGGCTTGGCAAGCCACGTAATACTAATGTCCATCATGAAAATAGCGTGACCTAAAGTCGAGTGCATAAACCTATACTTAAGCGGTGAGTAACATTATTACCAATACATTCTTTGTTGAACAAAAATAAAAGATGTCAACTTACTTTTATTTTCTCATCTTCCTGTTTCATTGAAGCAACAAATGCTGGTGGGTCTTGTTCCTCCGTATAATCAACTGAAAAAAATGCTTCGATGCTAAGAGCAGATGATGGAGTGCGACCAAATTCTTCTAAACGCTTCCGAGCAGTACTTTGACTTATTCGAGCTAAAAAAAACAACCAAACAATTATGAGTAGATTCTACTAGAATTCGAACTGGGTCACAAGACAAGTCCTCACAAGGAATCCTCAAGGCCAAAGGAAAAGAGGAAGACCAAAGAATACATTACACCGGCGAATGGAGATAGACATGAGAAAAATGAAAAAGAATTAGATGGAACTAGAAAAGAAGGCCTAGGATAGAGTGGGTTGGAGAATGCTGGTCGTCGGCCTATGCTCCATTAGGAGTAACAGGCGTAAGTAAGTAAGTAAATCTACTAAAATTATGTTTGAAAAACAATCAGCCGACTGAAATCAACATGAAACTAACCAGAAAATGACAAAATATTTAAATCATACGTTAAGAAAGGCACTATCAGGTAAAATTCACATATACATAATGATGTGATTTTACGCTCTGGTTTATAAGGTTGGTAAAAGTTAAAAAAGTGAAATCTCATTTGACTGTAAGAGACAAAGACTTAGGCAGGGGAAAATCAATTTACTTATGTGAAATTACACACTGCATTTGTAAAGTGTGAAAACAATGTATTAATCACACTATTTGCATATCATTTCTGAGTTGTCGCTTACAGACCAAATCGTTATTACTCCGACCAATCTCGGTTTTTCTTCCTCCTCAGTTTATTTTCCTCTTCTGATAGTTAGAACTCTACCTCCAATTCCTGATACATACGACTTATATCTGTTCAGTATATATCATTTTACAAAAACAGTTTTTCAAGTGAAAAACCCGTGAACATCCTTCAGTCTACATATGAACACCACCAATATATCAGTCAGATACAACGTACGACCAGGCGCATATATGCATCGGTCCAAGTTGCCATACCTCATTAGCACAACAAGATGAACACCGAATTCATAGTAGTTAATTCAATGGTGGTAATATATAAGAGAAAGATTGCATATAAGGATATATTACAGAGAAAAAGAATTAGTTTGTGAAAAGAAAGGTATAAAGCGATTTTAATCTCTTAGTTTAAAGGAAGACAGAGAGTGTATACACCGACGCCATTGTGATCGATTCTGAGACATGTCACCGAGAGTCTCCAACCATTGGTAACGATAGTCGCACAGACCTCAGCCATGTAGTCTGCATCTACCAACATGGCACAGACCAGAAGTTAGTGTCTTCGAGCACTGATGCCACGTTTTATATTGGCCGTCACTAACTTTCTTCCAACCATTCCCAACACAAGTCAGCGTTGGGCGTTGTGGTAGTCGGTGTTCAGACATTCGTAACACGTGGCCCAACTATCTCAGTTGATGAAGATTCACAACCTCATCAACTGATTTACCATCATTCCCTAATTCCCTGCATCTAACCTCGCTTTTACTTACCCGGTGATCCCAGCAGATGCGAGCAAAATTACTGAGACATCTGTGGTCAAATACTAGTAGCTTACGAGTATCTTCTACTCTTGATGGCCACGTTTCGCATCTAGAAAGTAGAACAGAGTGAACTACCTCGCAGTATACTCGTCTCTTAACTGACAGACGGATATGTTGCCTTCGGAATAGGTGACGTAAGTTGGAGAAAGCCAAACGAGCTTTTCGAATCCGCGCTGAGATTTCGTCAGACACCAACCCATTAGGGCTGATCAGACTTCCAAGATAAGTGAAGTTGTCAACGCGTTCCACTACTTCACTCCCTATCCTTAGTTCAGATGTTGACGTAGGCCAGTCTTGAAGCAAAAACGTGCATTTAAAGGGGGAGAAACGCATTCCAAACATTCTGACATCGTTACTTAGTGCTACCAGAAGACTCGGCATTTTATCAGCGTCTTCACCAAACAGGACTAGGTCATCTGCATATTCAAAGTCGATAAGTAAACCGCCTAGTAGGAGGAGATCAATGCCCGAGAATTCAGTCGATGTGTGCGTTATTTCCATCAGTATGTCTATGGCAAAGTTGAACAAAAATGGAGGTAGTGGACAGACTTTTCGGACACCACTTGAGGTTGCAAAATCAGATGACAGTTTGCCATAAGCACTGACTCGACTAGTAGTGTTCAAGTAAACAACCTTTATATGATCTACGTACTTTTGAGGTACGACTTTCAATTACAGACACTGCCACAGAACCTCGCGGTCTAGAGTTAAATGCTGCTTTTAAGTCAAGAAAAACTATCATTTTCGGATTCCGATAAGCATGTCTGTGTTCTAGAACCTGATGGACGGTGTATGTGTGGTCGATGCAGCCACGACCAGGCCTGAAGCCAGCCTGATTTTCTCGTATTTGCAGTTCACGAATCTTAGTTAGGCACCCGATAATTATTGAGGCTAGTATTTTAGATTCTATGTTAGTCAAGCTAATCCCTCTATGGTTGTCACAGGATGATTTTGACTCCTTCTTATATATTGGGACAATTAGTGATTGCTACCAGTTAGATGGGATTACGTCCAACTCCCAGATTTTAGCTAAAATATTAGTCAACCTTATCACCAAAACTTGACAACTATCCTTAAAGACCTTTGGGGCCAATCCATTTGGACCAGCTGCCCTTTCTCGTTTCAGACTAGCTATAGCATTTCGAACTTCAGATAGAGTCGAAGAACATACTTCAATGTTCCATTCACGCTGTCTGGAAATGGTGGATAGTTGTAGAGTAGCTAAATGCCAGCTGAACTACTTCTTAACGTGTTCCGCCCATCTTTCTAAACGTTTGGACTGAGAGTAGATAAGTGTCGTGTTTTTGTGAGATCAATTCAATTACACTTGACTTCTTAATTCCAGTTTCGTTAACTAGTCTGTAGAGCTGTCTTGCGTCATCTATAGCCGCCGCCTTTTTCATCTCTTTCGCTTTCGTTGACCACCACTGGTCACCGTCGTTCATTAGACTTTTGCTTAACCTAGATTTGATTTGTTTTCGCTCTTTTTCGTGTTCAGAGCCTGATGGGATGAGTCTACAAGAATCCATCAGTACAATAGACTTATCAGAAATGCACTGGTTTTTCGTGACCCTTTAGTTCAATTCATTAATAGATGTCGCTGCTCTTTCCACAGCTGTTTGTATATTTTTCCAAGCAACATCTGGGCCGGTCTCGTTTTCAGAACTACCTACATGTGACCTCAGTTGTTTCTAGAATCTACTTTCGGCTTTCTTATCGTTCAGTTCAACTCCAATAGGTCTTCTTAAAGTGGCTTTTCTGCGCCCAGTGAGACTCAAGCAAATAAATGCTCGTATTAAAGCATGATCAGAGTCTAAAAACGTGTTCCAGAACGAGCGGCAGTCTTCTATCGAGCCCTGACCGTTGTTGCTACCTTGATGCGGTGGTCAGGCTTGTCTATCGTGATGAAGCAACTGAGCTATACTGGCTGGAACAATCGTTCCTCAAGGTCCTACCATGCCAGACAGGTCGGTTGAAGAACGGTAAGACTAAAAGCAATAAACCCGAGGTCCGAAGACGAAGTTGTACTGCTGACTGTACAGAGGTATGACAGCAGTAAGGTGTTTCTTTCAGACAACCAGCATGACAGCGATGCTGCCTTCCCACAAGGAGCAGTGGGGTTAGAAAAGGTCGATCATAAAAATACACACCTCTTCTTATCCCACGGATATCCGTCTCCGGTGGTAAGGTCGTGTGTGAGCGACTTCAAGCAGTTGTCCCTTGGGCACTGCGGTCACGCTCTCAGGTCACTAAGACCACCTCTAATTCAATTTCCTTTTCAGGTAGCTCCAGAAGAACTCTTTCACCGTGTGGACAACCGGGAAGTGATAACCGCCCTCATACCTCCAACAGAACTCAAGATCACTGTATTCATAATCAACCTCCCTCTTTGATGCCTATTATTCCTCCTACATTGACTTTCAACGCTTAACTTCCTCTTTTGGTTTCCTCATCAAGTGTCACCATATCCAACGATTCTAGTGCGCAAAACACTGTCCCAGGTCTACTAAAACCTCGGTCCAAACTACATATTGGAGCCTTCAACGTACGCACACTATGCCAAATCGGTCAGCAGGCTTCCTTGGTTAAAACCCTAGAATCTCGTACCATTATTATTTATTTATTTATTTGAGCACATAAATATTGGTACAGGGGGGCACCAAATATATATGCGCCACACAAAACAGTGATAATTAGAAGAGAAGGAGAAAAGAGAAGAAAAAAAAAAGTAATGAACGTGGGGAATTATAAAAAAAAGAAGAGAGAGAGAGAGAACAATGGTGGGGGAAACGGAAAGGTACAATCAGAACAGATCTTTCAGTTAAGGAAGAATACGACCACCTTTTTATGAAGAAAGTAAAAGAAGGTTACAGCAGGATCGCCACTGGCTTCTATTCTGAGCCATATCTGATAACGTCTCTAGCCACTGCGTTACACCATCTCTCGGACCCCAACCAGGGAGTCGTGAAGGACCAACATAAGCTAGCCCTTTGCAGCTTTCTTTCATACCCCGACACCATGTCATATACTGACCACCTCTCCGCTTTTTCCAACCAGTCCCAGAGTCGGCAAATAATGCACGACGAGGAATTCTCTGGGACGACATTCGTAGAACATGTCCAAGCCACCGAAGTCGGTGTTTCAAGATGGTGACACCAATTTCATTATCGTCTCTGTGACCGAACACTCGATGCCGAACCTCTGCATTACTGACATGGTGTTGCCACTGGATGCCAGCAATCCTTCGGAGGCAACGATGATCGAACACAGAGAGTCGTCTAACATCCTCAACTCGGAGAGGCCAGGTTTCACAAGCATAGAGCAAAACTGCTCTCACCGTCGCGTTGTAGATCCGACCTTTTACAGCCAGACTGACATCACGAAGGCGCCAAAGATGGCCCAGATTGGCATAAGCCGCTCTGGCTTTCACTATACGTGCATTGATCTCATCACTCACGCCACCACCAGCACTTATGCAGCTACCTAGATACACGAACTTCTCGACTACTTCTATCTGCTCACCATCCAGAATGAGTACAGGATTAGAATCCTGCCAGTCTTGTAGAAGTACTTTGCACTTCGAAGGTGCAAAGCACATACCATACCTACGGACACTGATTGCCAACTGATTAAGTGCGGATTGCATAGCTTGGGCATTATCGCACAGTAAGACAATATCATCCGCATACTCAAGGTCGAGAAGTCTTTCTCCAGGCAACAGATCCACACCACCATTACTTACATCCGTCAGAGCTGTTTCCAGAATGTCATCGATGGCAAAGTTGAAGAGGAATGGTGAGATTGGGCAACCCTGCCTAACTCCACTGCTTGAATGGAATAGTGGAGAAAGGTGGTTGTATGCCCTCACTCTAACTGAGGTGTTTGTGTATAGGGCTTTTAGGATGTTAATAAACTTCTCAGGCACACCCCTCTTCAATAGACAATCCCAGAGAACAGTTCTGTCGAACGAATCGAAGGCAGCCTTGATATAAAGAAACACTACGATTGTTGGCCTTTGATAAGTATGGCGGTGTTCTAACGCTTGGCGGAGGGTGAAGATATGATCAATACATCCTCGACCAGAACGAAACCCAGCCTGCTCCTCGCGAGTCAATCCTTCTCGGGTTCTGAACAACCTACGAAGTATGACGGAAGCCAATAGCTTGGACGCAATCGGAAGTAGACTTATCCCCCGATAGTTGTTACAGGAACAACGTGAACCCTTTTTAAAGATAGGGACAACTATCGACTCATTCCATGACGTTGGTACACTCTCTAGTTCCCAGATCTTTGTAAACAACGTCGTCAGTCCTTTAGTCAGAAAGTCACCACCATCTTTAAAAAGAGCCGGGGGTAAGTCGTCTGGGCCCGGTGATTTGTAACGTTTCAAGAGTTGGAGTTCCTTGCGGACTTCCGCCTCATTTGGTGGATCAGTCGTCACCGGCCATGGAGGGCAGGACAGTCTGACCGATGTTGCCGGAGCAGCAGGCCAGTTGAACTGCCCTTCAAAGAATTCTGCCCATCGTCCAAGACGTCGATGGATGTTAGTGATTGGCGTTCCGTCATCCTCGCAGATTGTTTCGCTCACACCAGACTTCTTGCTGCCGGTGGCTCGGATGAGTTGGAAGAGCTTCCGGTAGTTACCAGATGCAGCTGCTGCTTCCAACTCACTGGCACGCTCCGACCACCAGGTTTCTCGGTCCTTACGCAAGCTTTGCCCGATTTCATTACGTAACAACCTTCGTCTGTGGTCAAACTCACGGTCACCCGGAGTAGACCGACGGGCTTCAATCAGTTTTAAGGAACCAGAAGAAACCCAGTGCTTGTAAGCGGGACGTTTCGCAATCCCACAGCTGACTTGACCCGCCATTTTCATGGCGTCATGCAATTGCAACCAATGCTCATCTATACTTTTCGGTGGAATAGTGGTGTATACTGTCTCTCCAAAACACGCATACAGGATCCTAGTGTGGTCATTCACTTGACCTCACCTCGGCATAAGGAGAGACATCGTCCAAAATGACGACTCCCTACATCAAACCAACGATGGACTCAAATAGACCATATTGCCATCAGTCATCGTTGGAGAGGGTCAGTAGAAGATTGTCGCTCATTCTGGAGTACCTCCTTGGACTCTGACCATTCCCTAATACAGGCACGCATCTGCTTGCGCCTCAGTGGACGCAGAAAAACCACAAAGTCCCATTAGAATTGAACTGAGTGACGAGAAAGCCAAAAGTAGGTTCCAGGAACAATATATGAATACATTGATATCTGCAGGATTTACATTGGTACAGCACATTTCAGACTCGAGTAATAAATTTGCCTGGAGCATAAATTTAGTAATGTGATGGGAAATTGGGAATTTTTCAATGCAATGACACTGTGTTTTTTATCTTAAAACTGCTAAAAATAAGACTAATCGTTTCTATGAGTGGTGTTCATATTGTCGAATTCTCGGTTATTTATTAATTCAGAAGAAATGGACCAAAATAAGTCACGAAACGTCAGGAATTTTCATTTCCATTTATTGCGATATCGGGAATATATCATTACTTTACGATTAACACTCTGACCAACGCTAGGTTTGGCTGAAACTATCACGCCTAACCTGAGTGATACTACTCACGAAGCTACCATCAACCTAGAATCAATAACATGAAATCATTGACTCAATTGAAAAACTTCTACATAGACCACGAATTTAAATTTAAACTAATGAGACTAATTTTTCACAGATAGAAAATATACCAATAAAGTCTACGTGTGGCGCATATGTATTTGGTGCCTCCTCGTACCAATACCTATGTGTTAAAATAAATAAATAAATAATAAATAACGTAGAAAAGAAAAACTACAGGTTATCAAAAGGCATCAATATTGATCATACATACCAATTCGAGCTACGTCCTCTTCTGTTCTATTGAATTCATGAATGCGAGCAGCAACAAGTAACGCTGCTGCAGCCAATCCACTGGGTCTTCTACCAGTAGCGATCCAATCTTTTTTCATTCTCTGTAGTAAACGCATAGCAGTTGTAGCAACTACTGACACCTTATCTCCAAACTCTAGCTGACTAGCGAAACGGTCGATATATATACAAGGATCTAGAAAGACAACATACAAATACCATTGGGTTAAAAATAGACACATGACAAACGCACACTACAAGGAAATCTAAAACAAGTACGAAAAAAAGGGTTGCAGTTTGTGGTGGTCGGTGTTCGATATATTCCTTAAACTCCGTATACAGTACGTCTCGGTAACCGTCACCAAATAATGCTCCAACGGTATATTAATCAGAAGGCGAATACGAAGCGTTAATTACGTTTATTAAGGGACCACACACAGATATCCAAAATTACAGATGCGTTAAGCAAGCATGAAATAGTTGTGCCGAAAGGCAAACAGGCAAGCGAGCGAGCGAGAGAGAGCAAGAGCGAGCGATCGAGCGAGTGAATGAACGAGCGAGCGAGTCATGAATATGAATAACATGGACATATATATACATAGTGAAATTAATGAATCATCGAGTCAATTAAGCGGTGTTAATAGTAAAGCTAGTAGCGTGAATAAATGCGTAGGCAGTAAGGCTTGCCGAGCATACATATTCATACGAGGATAACAATAATAAAGGTACATACATTCGCAACAGTAATAAGGATACAATAAGTTATTGTAGTGCAGGGGACTTTGTCCGTTTAATAAGTTAATAAAAGGGCTTAACCGAATTAGGTGAGAGCAAACTCAATTGAACGTGGCCCCCAAATGCCCTGGTATGGCCGAGAGCGGGGAGGGTTCGCCCTCCCTCTCGAAATACTCTCACACGGCCACGCGTATATAGCCTCTGCCAGGGAAGTCCTACTCACTGCCTTCTCGTGGCGTGGGTGTTGTTTACGAAAATGAGAGGACGAAAAGCGAACGTCCGGCGCTATAACCGGATCCCAATTCTATGGTGCACATGGGCTCCAGTATCCTGAAGGAACAAATGGCGTATGAACCAACTTTTGGTCACCGGCTTCCATGGGACTGCATCTCCTCACGATGCTCCACTGCCTTATGGACTAGACCTTTAGGTCAAAGGCTCGGGGTGTGGCCCCCTAAGAAAACCACCTGCTTCGGTTTGGGCACCCGGGCAGTATCTCAGCCCACACACCAAAACATGATGAAATATTCGCTTACGGAAAATATTCGTTCTTCTCTGACTAACATTGAAATGACTGATACTATTATTATTATTATTATTATTATTATTATTATTATTATTATTATTATTTACTACGTCATTTACTCACTATCTCCTATTTCTACTTTTTGTATCCGTTTCGACTCAGACAGCAGCTAGCCTATGGTAAAAATTCAGCTTTATCTAAACGTTCTCGAGTCACTGCCTGGTTTGAAAATTGTATGTTACCATCGAATACGAGTACTGAAGCAGTCTTTCTAAAACCACGCGCACCATTCAAACTGGCTGTCTTTAACGTTCGCACACTTATGCAGGTCGGACAACAGATAGGGCTGGCAATGTCTTTGGAAAGTCTTAATATTGATGTGTGTTGTCTATCCGAGACCCGTATTCAAGACTCTGGTGAAGTACTACAAGTTCGCTCTCCATCTGTCGCTCCAAAAAGCTTGTTTTACGTGCGTTTATCCGGGGACCCTGTGGCATCTTCGTCTGGTCTTGCTGGCGTTGGTGTCGCACTAAGCGCAAGAGCTGAGGCAGCACTAGTCGACTGGATCCCCATTAACAGTCGGTTATGTGCTGTTAGATTAGAAAGTACCATCAGAGTGAGAAGAAATCGGCGTGAGAAACGATGTCTTTTCGTCATCTCCGCCTATGCCCCGACAGATTGCAGCCCGGATGCAATCAAGGATGAGTTCTACCACCAGTTATCTGTTCTTCTCCAGAAAGTGCGTTCGACAGATATTGTAGTACTAGCTGGAGACTTGAATGCTCAGGTCGGGCGTCTAGGCACAGAAGAGAGTCGTTTAGGTGGCCGATGGGGACTCGTTGGTCGCAGGACAGATAATGGGGAACGTCTACTGCAACTATGCACAGACCACAACCTGTTTCTGGCTAGCACTAACTTTCGGCACAGTCATCGCCGATGTGCCACCTGGCGTCCCCCTTCTGCATCTCAAGCCTGGACTCAGATTGATCACATCGCGATCAGCTACCGCTGGCGCGGTGGTGTACAAGACTGCCGCTCCTTTTGGAGTACCTATCTGGAATCTGATCATGCTATGGTCTGCGCCAATCTTACCTTACTTTTCAGTGGACAACGAAGTGACCGCCACCACAGGATTGATGTTAGCAAGCTGGCTGCAACTTCTGTTGCTAGTAAGTACCGAGCCGAGCTAGCTTCTAGGCTAGCCACTATTCCACCGAAAAGTATAGATGAGCATTGGTTGCAATTGCATGACGCCATGAAAATGGCGGGTCAAGTCAGCTGTGGGATTGCGAAACGTCCCGCTTACAAGCACTGGGTTTCTTCTGGTTCCTTAAAACTGATTGAAGCCCGTCGGTCTACTCCGGGTGACCGTGAGTTTGACCACAGACGAAGGTTGTTACGTAATGAAATCGGGCAAAGCTTGCGTAAGGACCGAGAAACCTGGTGGTCGGAGCGTGCCAGTGAGTTGGAAGCAGCAGCTGCATCTGGTAACTACCGGAAGCTCTTCCAACTCATCCGAGCCACCGGCAGCAAGAAGTCTGGTGTGAGCGAAACAATCTGCGAGGATGACGGAACGCCAATCACTAACATCCATCGACGTCTTGGACGATGGGCAGAATTCTTTGAAGGGCAGTTCAACTGGCCTGCTGCTCCGGCAACATCGGTCAGACTGTCCTGCCCTCCATGGCCGGTGACGACTGATCCACCAAATGAGGCGGAAGTCCGCAAGGAACTCCAACTCTTGAAACGTTACAAATCACCGGGCCCAGACGACTTACCCCCGGCTCTTTTTAAAGATGGTGGTGACTTTCTGACTAAAGGACTGACGACGTTGTTTACAAAGATCTGGGAACTAGAGAGTGTACCAACGTCATGGAATGAGTCGATAGTTGTCCCTATCTTTAAAAAGGGTTCACGTTGTTCCTGTAACAACTATCGGGGGATAAGTCTACTTCCGATTGCGTCCAAGCTATTGGCTTCCGTCATACTTCGTAGGTTGTTCAATAACCGAGAAAGATTGACTCGCGAGGAGCAGGCTGGGTTTCGTTCTGGTCGAGGATGTATTGATCATATCTTCACCCTCCGCCAAGTGTTAGAACACCGCCATACTTATCAAAGGCCAACAATCGTAGTGTTTCTTGATATCAGGGCTGCTTTCGATTCGTTCGACAGAACTGTTCTCTGGGATTGTCTATTGAAGAAGGGTGTGTCTGAGAAGTTTATTAACATCCTAAAAGCCCTATACACAAACACCTCAGGTAGAGTGAGGGCATACAACCACCTTTCTCCACTATTCCATTCAAGCAGTGGAGTTAGGCAGGGTTGCCCAATCTCACCATTCCTCTTCAACTTTGCCATCGATGACATTCTGGAAACAGCTCTGACGGATGTAAGTAATGGTGGTGTGGATCTGTTGCCTGGAGAAAGACTTCTCGACCTTGAGTATGCGGATGATATTGTCTTACTGTGCGAGAATGCCCAAGCCATGCAATCCGCACTTAATCAGTTGGCAATCAGTGTCCGTAGGTATGGTATGTGCTTTGCACCTTCGAAGTGCAAAGTACTCCTACAAGACTGGCAGGATTCTAATCCTGTACTCACTCTGGATGGTGAGCAGATAGAAGTAGTCGAGAAGTTCGTGTATCTAGGTAGCTGCATAAGTGCTGGTGGTGGCGTGAGTGATGAGATCAATGCACGTATAGTGAAAGCCAGAGCGGCTTATGCCAATCTGGGCCATCTTTGGCGCCTTCGTGATGTCAGTCTGGCTGTAAAAGGTCGGATCTACAACGCGACGGTGAGAGCAGTTTTGCTCTATGCTTGTGAAACCTGGCCTCTCCGAGTTGAGGATGTTAGACGACTCTCTGTGTTCGATCATCGTTGCCTCCGAAGGATTGCTGGCATCCAGTGGCAACACCATGTCAGTAATGCAGAGGTTCGGCATCGAGTGTTCGGTCACAGAGACAATAATGCAATTGGTGTCACCATCTTGAAACACCGACTTCGGTGGCTCGGACATGTTCTACGAATGTCGTTCCACAGAATTCCACGTCGTGCATTATTTGCCGACTCTGGGACTGGTTGGAAAAAGCGGAGAGGTGGTCAGTGTATGACATGGTGTCGGGGTATGAAAGAAAGCTGCAAAGGGCTGGCTTGTGTTGGTCCTTCACGACTCCCTGGTTGGGGTCCGAGAGATGGTGTAACGCAGTGGCTAGAGACGTTATCAGATATGGCTCAGAATAGAAGCCAGTGGCGATCCTGCTGTAACCTTCTTTTACTTTCTTCATAAAAAGGTGGTCGTATTCTTCCTTAACTGAAAGATCTGTTCTGATTGTACCTTTCCGTTTCCCCCACCATTGTTCTCTCTCTCCCCCTTTTTTTTATAATTCCCCACGTTCATTACTTTTTTTTTCTTCTCTTTTCTCCTTCTCTTCTAATTATCACTGTTTTGTGTGGCGCATATATATTTGGTGCCCCCCTGTACCAATATTTATGTGTTCAAATAAATAAATAAAATAAATAATACAATTGAACGTGAGTTGCTATAAGTTATAATTTTACGCCAAACATTTGTGCTTATTCGAAACTGTTTGGATTAACTACTTTCATAAAAGGACGAAGCTTCAGTGAGACAGCTCAGTGGTCCACTCGACTTCCAATGAAATTTGAATCCCTTTGACTACTTCTATTTAAGTAGTCAAAGAAGTGTTAGAAAAAACCCTTGCAAGTGTGGTTCAAAAATTGTACTTGGTAAATTAGTTACGGAAAGTTTCTGAATAACTCTGGAAACTAACAAATCAAAAACGTATCACAAAACCCTAGGAAAATACAAAATACCGAAAGGGTAACAGCTATGCATTCCTATTTCAACATGAGTTTGTAGCTCAAACGTTTAAGCAATCAGCTTCTGATTGTTGATACTTCATGACCAAACCAAGTTTATCAAAATAACCAGTCCCCAAATAAAAAAGAGGCAATTACAACCTTTAAGAGGTGTATATTCAGTTACGAAGTTACATTGAGTGAAACAGACACATATATCATAGGCATGAGAGGGGAAATGAAAATAGGTGGAGAGCACTGAAATGTTCACGGGACATAAGAAACGTGGATCTATTTAACTCCATGTGATACCTTTCAAATATGTCACCTACGGTCCGTTGTCATTAATCTCGACGACCCTATCTAATGAGTAGATATCTATCTATACGATTCCCTGTAGCTTCACGGAATCGCGAAATGTTTTAGTCTGACCACAGCTTTATATAATTTATACAGTACATATTTTACCACGTTTATTTGCTTTGTATTAATTCAACCTTTTGCGAGGGCTGATGGTACTACCTAACTGTTCGAAATGAAGTATATGGAAAAGAGTTGAAACCTGCTAACCATTAGTTGGAAGTTCTGCACTCACGAAAATCCTCAGAGTTACGATCGAATATGACCTTAGTTGTACAAACAGAACCTAAACATTATTCGCAGTTTGACTTATTTTGTGCTTACAGCCAGACGGTACATATCGACTGCATATACTAGTTATTGAAAAAAGCCCAACTACATGTTTAAAATGTGTTAAGGCAACATATCTTTGAAATAAATGTCACCTTATTTTGGGGACAGTAAGTGAATAAAAAAGAATTCGGTCAAAACAAAGATTACCACCTTAAGTTCAACTCATTGGAACCACATACTGAGAATGACAGGAAACCAGCATTTATCGGAAAATGTCACTTCTAATTCCTCAGAATATTTTAGGAAGTTTAGTTTTTATTTATCAGAAAAGTAAACCAGGAGATATGATATACTCTAAATACCATGGTGACTTTGTTTGCAGAACAAAGACCATCAGAGTATGAGCGCAAGCCTTGAGTTATCTGAGACTTATAGTACAAAATTGGGGTGGAGTGGTAGCTTAGTGGCTAAAGTGTTCGACTACTACCACTAGGTCCTAGATTCCAACCCCGTTGTCTGTACCTTGGTTTATACAGCCGGTAGTAGCCCTAACGCCTAGTGCGGCTCATACCCAAGTACTCGATATACGAGTTAGTAATGAATTTTAGAATTATATATGCAATGATCACTGTGTAGTGGCTTATATAATATTTTTATTCATCACTGCAGACTGGGTTCTATCGACCAAGTTTCAATGTAACCACTAGTTTCAGTGACTTAATATCGCATGTACTATGTTCCGATGTCGGCAATGGAAAAACCATAACTCATATTATAGAATGTTTCAACAAAAGTAAATCTTGGCTAATTGGTTTTTTAAAACTAACCCATTTCTGGTATTGCTAGATTGAGTCGCTTCTTCAAGTCTGCATAAACACGACCAAGGACGTAAACATTAACACCCACTGCATCGCTGAGGTCTAGTAACATCAAATTGACGCGCAACTGACGAGCTGCTAAATAAATACAACCTGCAGCAACTGTAAAGGCACTACGACCTCTTGTTAGCCCACGAAAAAGTGCGCTTTGATAATAACGGAAAGCAGATACAGCCGTGTCATTGCCAAGGCGTAACTGGCCACAAATAGTGTCAATCCTTCGACGCGCTACAACAAAGTTAGGACAGTAATTACAAATGTATACAAAACAGAATAAGATTACTGGTAATTAAAATGTTCGTCGCCTGAAACTAGCATACTATTATCTTAAAAGTGCATTTGGCTGATTGAATCATTTATAACCTAGCACATAATAATGACCAGAATTAAGGAAATTCATCTACCGAATCTGTGTAACTCACTAAAATATCGCTCAGGCATCAGAAATCGTTCTACAAACCAGATAAAATGTACACTGGCAAAAGACACTAATTGATGAGTTTTTTGAAAATCTGAAGTTTGTTGACAAACACATTATGATTACAAATCAATAACAAAGTCATCTGGTTATATGATTTGTGGAAAAAAACATTCATTTCTATACAGTTCCTTTTAGAATGCGATTGAAAATGTGAACCACCATGTGCCGAGTGATTTGACTAATACTACTTTTTGGACAGCCCAGCGAATAACGCGTTGGCAACTCAAGCGATAGGTACTAAGTTTAATTCTCAGTGTGAAGATCAAAACAGAGATTAAGGTAGATCAAATAAACATTTCAAAATATGATTAGAAGTACATCCTGGATCCCACTGTTAGCCACAATTTAAAAATGCTAAAATTTGGTATGACAGTGAAAAACAAACAAGTCTCGTGATTTATTACAAATGTCCCGGTCCAAGTTGTGACATCTCATATACCATAGATTGGAAGTAAACTGGAAGCAAATATTTGAAAAAGACAATAATGCCAATAAAGCAAGAGAAATGAAATGAAAGATAAATAATGAGTGTGAGTCTTCACAAAATAATTTATTCATAACACTTATTTTTCACCTATTATTTACAGCCAAATGTGGACCAAAACCAGAAGGCCCGTACCGTTGGCGCGGTATGATGATACAGAAACGTTTTGACCGTATGTTACTCATATTTTACCCATGGGCTTATGAATGATAAACAACTCAGAGAATACTGAATACTTTAAAACATTTTAGCGATTGGTAACGTTCCAAGCCAAGATGAGTGAAGGTAGCTAAATGTGAATAATTACACAGTGTTTTTAAGAGTGAACTGACCATTACTTCAATTTACTGTGTCGAGAAAAAAGGTAAACATACAACCACGAACCATAATAATTGAAGGAAGTAACGAAATAAAAAGACAGAAACAGGTGACTAATAATTAAAACGCCAGTATAGCTTTCATGTTTCGTATAATGACTTCAACCCACTGTGTACAACAAATAGTAATTTTTTCAGATTTTAAATTACTACTAGTTATTTTCAAAACAATTTGCAAAGTTGACTGCGATGTGAGATTGTAATGTGTTTACTTTGAAGTTTTAGGCAATTGAGTTTTGGCCAGTTTAAGACTGGCTGGAAATTTTGGTAGATATAATTAAATTATGCTAACCAGTGATATACAGCGAAACCAAACTAGAGAAAACTATCCAAAATATAAACTAACGAGAATAAGCCCACGGACGGTAACTCGTTACACACGCAGTTACCTAGTTTGGCAAGATCGATGGACTCACCCACTAGTTTATAGAAAAACTTCAGACAAGTTTAGAAGAAATAAAAAATCTGCGATGAAGTCTCTAATCATAATAACTATTTGAAGTCTGACTCTCCAACTGCTACGGTGAAGCTCGGACTTACCTTTATTTTCTGTTGCTTGTCGTGACTCCTTAAAATTTCCCACCTGACCTAGAGAATGATCAAACTAAGTAGTAGAGCATACTTTCGTCTGAGACAAAACGACCGACTGCAGCACACTGACCAGTACTGGTCTCGACAAATTCCACTTCCGATGTGATGACATTTTCTCCCATAACCATCCCACAGTCGACACATATTAAATCAGCCCGTGCGCGATCTTCTTCTAAATTAGAGCAACCACAATTTTTACACTTCATTGTCGTAGCGCTACTACCGGAATACGCGCGTTCGTCTATTGAGAAAGTAACCCCTATCTAAAAATTAAAGAATCAGATAATTAAATATTTTGTATGCTCTCCCGTATAGAACGGTAAATAAATTACAAACATTGGCTTTTGTTTCGTAACCCTTACTTATTGAAGAAGCTAATGTGCTTCTTGTAAGTTCAAATAAGTTTCATTTTTTTCTCGTCACGCCTTATTATCTACAAAAACTAATGTTAACCAGTGGTAATCATGTTAGAAAAAGGGCTATTTCAAAGCTTTTGAAAGTAAATGATTAAAAAAGGTTGGATATTAACAGGGTGGGTGAAATCATGGACCATTGAAAAGGCACAAACGGAGGTCGGATTCATGTTGGCTAATTTACTTCTTAAGTAATAAACTTCATATTTACCTCTATCGAACAAAAAAATGGTTGATTTAGTGACTGATTGTTATATTCCACCAGTTTCTGGTAATGCACAATTCATGCGAATTAGTTATTCACTACTTTCTGTCGTTTTTTATGAAAATACTTCGCAAATCAACGTTACGATATCTCTTGAGAGTCGAGAAACGAAGCATGAGGCTGACACTGTAAAATTACGCGAACTGAGTATTATGAAATCTCGGTTGCCAAAAATTATCCTTATTAACCCTAGGTTATGTTCAAACATTATATTGTTCATCTTAGTTTGACTCAACTCCCACCTTGTGTGCTTCCTTTCACGCATTAAACAAACTCATCCATAGAAAGAAAACGAAAAAGACCACTTACCACTGACAGGTATCTAAAGCATAGAAGGTCTGTTTTAGTGATAGATCTTGGGTGTAAGATGGTTAAGCATTTCTTAAGACATCTAACTTTCGTTGTTCTCCAGAACATAGCTGAGCTGTGGCGAAAAGCTTTCACATTTACATTCGACACTAGCTAAAGTATGTATAATGTCAGGACTGGGAGATTGTAAAACTTGATTTGAGATTTCTGAGGCAGTGCATTAGAATGCTAATCACATGACATCACCATGTACTGGTGCTTGTAGCAAATATTTTGTGAAGATATGGCTTCTTAATGGAATCTAGTAAACTGGAATTCATACCCCGTACGTTAAAAACTCCGAGTAAAAACAAGCCTTGGTTATCGTCTAGATGATAAGTAAGTTATATCTAGCCTTAAAAAAAGTTCTTGTTAAACCATACCCTTCATCAGTATTATTGATGAACCCATACTTTTAGTTGTGTTCGATCCTCCCCAACCAGAAATCATTATTTCTCGGTGGTCAGCGTATGTTGTTGTTCACAGTTTGGAGAAAGACAGCCTTTAAAAATACAGCCTTTTTTGTAAACTTTAACCAATTGTATTTATTTCAACGTTTTGGAGATAAATACATTGAATTTTTGTTATAATTTGTTCTGACTGGAGTTAATTCCTCCCGAACATGTAATAGGATTGTTCCGGAGTTAGTTCTCATAGTCAACCGGATCTACCATACCACCTACAATGTTATCAATCTTCATCTCTTAGTTTTGATTTTTGATATTTTGTAATTATGGGGAAAACCGTAGAAATTCTCTTACCTGACTTCTAAAATTTTACCTTGAAACAAATCCTAAGAATAGGTATCCTTGCATACTGATGCTGATGACGTTAACTTAACCGTACAACAATAAGCTACTTTCTGATCTCCCGTGAGGTTCATCTTTTACTGCCTCAAGTCACAAGCATTATAAGCAAAGATGGGTGGTGGATAGCAGTGGAATCCAGGATACACGTTTCGTCCTATTTGGGACTTGTCAGATGTGTGTGTCCGCTTATAATGCTTGCGACTTGGGGTAATATCAAGGAAATACGCACAGTATGCACATATGCCAATAAGTGACTGATCAATTGCTATCCTAAGCATCAGTGGGAAAATTCAAGCAAACAATACCTTATGTATCCAATCTTCACCCCATTGCATAGGGTAGTGGCTGTCAGGACTCAGTAGCTAAGTGGATAACGTGATGCCATTTAAAGCAAACGTACTAGGCACGAGTCCCCTGGTGAAAATCAACCCCGTGATGCAACTACATCCAGCCGATGAATCCCAACTGGGGTGAAACGCTCATCCTGCATTCCACTGCTATCCACCATCCATCTTTGCTTATAATGTTTGTGACTTGAAGCAATATCGAAGCAATACGCGTATTATGCACATATGCTAACAAAAGACATCAATTGCAGACCTAAACACCCATTGGAAGATTCAAGGAAACAATACTGAGTGAATTTACATTTGAGATTTGTTAAAGGGTGTATTTGTCTTGGGTTAAAAATCTAACAAAGAAGAACTCAAAGTTCAAAAAGTGCTCTCTTTTTCGTTTAATTAAAGCATCCTGGTGAAGAGATCGAAGAATGAAAACCATTGTTCACGACTGGTCCATCAATAGCTGTAAAGTACGAAGATCAGAATATACTGAAGCGCATAATTATAAACTTCATCCGATTATGACGACTATTGACATGGTCAATGGAGTCAAACGGATTAATCGGACACAACCTATGTCTTGGAACTACTCTTCCCTGTGACAATCTTTTGAAAGCACCAGCTGTCCGACGTGGTATTTTTAGGACTTAGCGAGCTTTTCCAGTTTCCAACAAAATTCTAGTTACTTTATTGATTGTAAGTGACATATTCCTCCCATATACTTTTAAGAAGTGAAATGCCGTCGACAGCATTGGTAGAATGTTGTGTAAATACCTCCCACAGATTAGATGATTTATGTATATCAAAATAAAATCTATATGTGAAAGAACTGCACTGACTTTAAGAGTCTGTATGACATGTTACCGTATCTCTTGAAAACGAAGTGATTCACGAATACGTGTGGTAGAACATTATGTAATACCCCGCAAACTGTTAAAAATATCAAAAATTTTACTCATTACAAAACGGTGTTGTTCGAGAAAAATACCAGTTTGATGACAATAATACGCTGACTAGGCTTAGAATAACGTAGACATGTTGGTTACCAACGGTTCCACGTAAACTATAGAATTCTGATTTAAGTCGGTATTGGTGAACTTATTTATGATTCTAGAATAATAAACCTACTCCATAGTTACAGGTTTATCATTATATGACCATCTGATCTATCGGACTTAACGTGGAAGTCACATTACAGCCCATACTGACTCGTTCTGTTTTGACAGTCAGTAATATGAAGTTTAGTACTTCTGAAGTATATATTTGGGCTCGGAATAGGATTACATATTTACTATGAGAACAAAATATCATGGTCTCCGATCCTTGTATTAACCAGGTTAATACGTAACAAACATTAATACTCTGATACTATATTTGATTTAAAGAGCTCTGTACCCAGTTTCAAATCATGGTCAATAACTCCAGTAAAAGAGAAATTTCACCAATTTCTAAGCCAAATAAAAGGTCCAGATCTGGAACCCCTATGACTGATGGCTCAGTACCTGACAATGCCGAACCTTTAACAAATGAACAATATACGTATTGTACACAAATGTCACTATCATCACCTGATTCTCCATGTTACTGCCCCTCCATCTCTGCGTGCAGTATGCCAACGGTAAGACTGGTTGACACACAAGACACTTTACCCACGTGCATCGAAACGTCAGCACAGTCTACCAGACAGTACGTTCTACCAAGGTCTAAATATAAAATTTCAAGAACTAAAGAGTTCAATAGTTCGTCTCATACACACGAAAATACTGATAGATATAGTACTGACATCCGTCAGCTACAAAGCTCTCTAGCCGAAATTCACGGCAGACTAGAGCAACTAGCACCCCTCACACATATATGAGGCCTTGACATGGATAGAAATCTCGAGCAACTCACTAAAGCTGAGTGTATTTTGGAGTTTTTGGCTGAAGAAGCGACGAAAAGAATGATGTCCTCCTTCAACCCAGCTGCGTATAACCTCCCCGACCGCACACACTCATCTAAGCTGAGGGATATTTTCCTTAGAGCATACGGTATGCTGAACGTTAACTGAAAAGTCATCCGCCTTAGAAAAAAGTCAGACAGATCAACTTGCCCACTCCTGTCTATGTTCGGCTGTTGTAACGATGCTAAACAGTTTATCGATTCCAGCAAAAATATTAGCTCACTCATTCCATACAAAAACACAAGTCACTCCAGACCTTACGCCCTGTCAACGTCGTGTAAGAAGACGTGAAGCGATAGGACTGCATGGTAGTATTACAGAAAATAACCTGCCAGAGACAGTATGCAACAAGAAGCATGACATCACTCCACAAACGTACTGACCACTCTGTTGATCTAGATGAGTCTGCTGATCAGAAACCTTTGGATAAGATTCGGACCCCAACTGGCACCAAAAACCATAACGACATGTTTAATCCCAGCTTTTCGCTTGGTAATGTACAATGATGTGAGTCACGCGACAACACGCATCCAACTAAACCTATACACTTAAAAGTTAGTCCTCCTAAAGATACTCCACAGGTTGACTCGAATGAACCTAAATTCATCTCACAGAGACAACGAAAGACTCCAGCTCTGACAAAAAAGCTTAGGAATACAAGACTCACGATACCGAGTAGGGGAACACATAAGGTTGGACCCAACTGCTCTAAAGGTATCCCAACAACAGTGAACAGGTTCTCCCCGCTAATACCATATAACTTGCCATCAACACCTCTAAGTTGCAAAAAGGGTAGTGGGCTACAGCGTGACAAGCCTTTTTACACGCAGGCTAACAAAAACTATCAGAGTACTGATCACTCCAATCACCCTCCAAAGCTTAAAATTATTAATAAGAATGGCAATAATAGGTTTTTCACTCCACATCTTATCTACATTCCCCAGGATCATAATTGTAATTACTCTCAGAAAGAAAACTTTTCACACCCTTTAGTACCAACCCACCACATAGAAACGACTCCCACGTACAATAACAGTCGCAACTCCTTCAAATTACACGCAGCAGACCCCTCTCACGCTAACTTAAATAGCTATAACAGAGGCTAGGCGCCTAAACACCAAGACTATTTTGCAAAT